TTTATGTCTCAAAGGAAGTATACCATGGATATGCTGAAGGAGACTGGTGTACTTGGAGGGAAGATAGCTAAGACACCTCTTGAGGAGGGGTATAAGGTCTTGCGTGAGGGGGAGGTTGAAGAAAACCAGTTGTTTGAGGATGCTAAGCTGTATAGGAAGATGGTTGGGAAGCTGATCTACTTGACTATCACCAGACCAGACATATGTTTTGCTGTGAATCAAGTAAGCCAGCATATGCAAACACCAAAGGTACATCACTGGAAGATGGTTGATAGAATACTGAGGTACCTGAGTGGCACATCCGGACAAGGAGTTTGGATGGGATGTAATGGCAGTACTGAAGTGGTTGGGTATTGTGATGCTGATTGGGCAGGAGATAGAGTTGACAGAAGATCAACTACTGGGTATTGCACTTTCATTGGAGGAAACCTAGTCACTTGGAAGAGTAAGAAGCAGAAGGTCATCTCTTGTTCAAGTGCTGAAGCTGAGTACAGGGCTATGTTGAAGCTGACAAACGAGTTGGTATGGATCAAGGGGATTTTGAAGCATCTAGAGATTGAGCAGTCTACTCCTATGACCATGCATTTTGACAATCAAGAAGCTATCCACATTGCTTCTAACTCAGTCTTCCATGAGAGAACGAAGCACATAGAAGTTGATTGTCACAAGGTGAGACAGATGATTATTTTGTGGGTGATTCTTCCATGCTATACAAGAAGTGAAGACCAGCTTGCAGATGTGTTTACTAAGGCAGCGAGATTAAAGGCAATGGAGTCCATACTATCCAGGCTTGGGCTCATTGATCTTACTCCTAGGAGCTGATCCCCTCGTCATGAGATCTCCACTCTTTTTCCCTCATCAAGGTTTTATCCCATTGGTTTTTTTTTTATGAGGTTTTTAATGAGGGAAGATCTCATGGCAATCCAAGCTTGACTTGTTTCACATGGTCAAGCTTGAGGGGGAGTGTTGAGATGAGAGGATAAAGAGTTGATATATTGAGAGAGGAAGAGATTTGGAGCAGACAGTAACTTTGGAGATTTACCACAGTAACTTTGTTTTTACTGTGGTAAATGGGTTAAAGGCTTGAGAAGTTACCTTGCATCCTTTGGAGAGTAGATCACGCCCAAGGGGAGGTCTGGATGAAGACTAAGCAGTCTGGATAAGGTTTCCTCATAGCTAGAGAGGCTGGAGACAGACTGTAAAGTAGACAGCATCTAGTAAAAGATGCCAAAGGGATCAAGCATGTGAAGACTCCCATTGGCTGCTCTTGGATAGCTCTCTTTGACTACACACGTTCTAGATTTGCCCCTTTATCCATTGATCACGAAATGTATTGTATCTCTCACTTAAATATGTTGAAAACATCATCTTTAACAAATAATGGAGTTTTGTGCCTCTCTCTCTCTCTAGTTCATCAATTCTCTCTATTCTTTTAAATCTGTCACATATATTAATCTGATTATCTATTAAACACTCTACAAACACAAAAGTGTTTAATTATGATGTGCTATGTGATTGAGAGAATGCAGAGCAACACATTTATGATCTTATAAGTATTTTCGAGCCCCATCATCTGATATTGTTGCTCACATTTATGATCTTATAAGTATGCGTTGGTGGAGGAGTTGAGATAATACATGGCCTTTAGAATAATTAAGATTAGCACCATTGCTTTTGCGTCTAAAGCTGATCATGTTTTCCTTAAAAGAGTTGACTCCTATTAGTGACCCCTGAGAGCTAGAGAGCTACGCGAAGATGATCGCGTAAAATCTATCCACCCGCTAGTTTGGAAGCAGCATCTTAGTTGCACTATGCCACTCCACCATACCTTCGGTTTTAAAGGCTATAGAAAAATACTTGTGCAGACCTTATATTATCCATATTATGAATCTATCACTATAAAGATTGTAAGATACAATACATGTTTCTTTTTCCAATTTTCAAAGATGGATGGCTGATTAGAAACCCAAGAAGCTCCTCTACAAAACACATTGCATTGCCTAGATAATTGATAAGAGGTGATCGTATCAATCTCAGAAACATGTTCAAAACCAAACCCGACCCCTAGCAAGTGGATTCATGTAACCACAAGAAAAATAAAGCTTGTTCCATCAACCAATGCAAAGACTGTTTATCAAATGTAGATTTTACCTTATTTTTAAATCCTACTTCTGCGCTCTCGTTTCAGCAACCTATAACTCTCATCCGCCAGTACCCCCCCCCCCCCCTCAAGATGTTATATTATGGAATTGGACTTGTTCAAGATTTTGGTGACCTCCACATACTTGAATCTAAATATATTGAACTCTGAACCACAATAGATCTATTTATAGCCTTCTCTTTTTCTTCCTGCTTCCATACAGATTCACAGTAGCTTGTTAGAAGACATCAAAGAGGCACTTACATTCAAAAAAAATACTATAAGTTTTAGGGTTTAGGATTTTAGAGTTGATATTTCAGGGTTTAGAGATTAGAGTTGAAGTTTCATGGTTAGGGTTTAGAGTTGAAGTTTCAGTGATTAGGGTTTAGAATTGATGTTTGAAGGTTTATGGTTTAAATTTAAACTTTCAAAGTTTAGGGTTCTAGAAATGATGTTTCGGAGTTTAGAGTGGAAGTTTCAGGGTTTAAGTTTTAGAGTTGAAGTTTCATGGTTTAGGGTTTTAGAGTAAACTAGGATAAGACATGTGCCTTGCGGAGGGTGAATATACGTAATTAAAATATAAAATTTTAGTATTAATAAATTTAAAATTTACATATAATTGTTTTTATATGTATTTGAAATCTTAGAATTTTGGAATTTTTAAATAATTATCTATACGTAGGATCAGAAACAATTGTAATTATAATAGTAGATCAAATCTTAGAATTTAATGGACCTCATTTCATATATCTTTTCACTTTTTTAGTGTTCGACTGATGGAAAATAAACAGAGTGTCATTAGGCTTGATTGGTAGAGTATTAGCAAATTTTCTAATGTTTTTTAAGAAGCAGTTGGTAAAATAATTGCATTTAAAATATATAAAGTTTAAAACTAATTTAATATAATTTATTTATTTGTATAATAATATTAGAAAACTATATTTTTTACAAATTATTATTTTTTAAATAATTTTATAAAAAATTAAGTTAAATCTTAAATTATTTTAAAAAAAATATTTTAAGTTTGTCAAATACAAATAAAAAATTTAAAATTAATTATGGTCATGATTTAACATAACCATAATGATTTAAAAAATAAAATAAAAAAAAATAAAAAAAAATTAACAAATTAAAAATTAACTCAGTTTTATATCATGATTTAACAATTTAAAAATTAATTATGGTTATGAGAAGTTTACGTTCACATGTTAATCCTATTTATTTTCCATTTTCTCTTTTGTTGTGTTTTTTTATATTTTGGTTATTACTCGATATAAATATTGATTTTGAAGTTTATTCTCATTTCATTTATTTGTTTTGACCAGGGATTCAGAAAATAACTAAGATTTAAAATAATTAAAAAGATACATACTTAGGTTAAGATCTGCACTTTATGCACAATAAGTATTTTAAATTTATAATTTATTTTATAAATTTCTGTATATGATAAAATAATATATATATATATTACATAACTAAGAAACAGTCAATATTATGTAATAAATTGACGTATGCATATAAATTTAACTATCACTCTTGTTTATTCGCAATTACCGTAAATAAATCAAAATAATCAATCTTATATATTGTATATGATATATAATTAAATTTAAATGATATAAACATAGTAATATGGCACACTTTTAATATTGATATTTATTAAATGAGGTTTCTACTCATATGATTTTATGATTATTTGCATATTTGTGTAACAAAACTTTAGACCAACGATTTTTTTAATATGAGATGTTTAGTAGTTTCAATAATTTATAATCATTTTTTTTTTTAAATGACATATTTCAAAATTAAAATATTAACTTTTCAATATATGTTGAAGACAATCAAAATATAAGTATGTATTTTCATACGATTTATAGTTTAATTAAAACGATATGAAATATATATATAAATTAAAATTATTTCTTCATATGGTCTTATAATCATTATATATTAATATAGAAAACAAATTAAAACCTTGATCCTAAAAGTTTATGTGAGACTTTTAACAATTTTAGTAATTTATACTCATTTTGAAAAATTCGAAACACAAAAAAAAATCTAGATTTTTATTATATGATTAATGTAATTGTGTAATTTATTTTAATAATAAATAAATAAATAAATAAATAAATGAGAAAAAGTATACAGATTGTTATCAAATCTTTATTGTTTAAAATCATTAATTGTCATATATATTTTAATCACATTAGGTAATTCCGTATGTTTTATTTAAGGAAAGCATGTGAAACAATAAATATTTGATATATGCGACCAACTATAGTCTACGAAATATTATATTGCTAGAGAATATAATTTTTAGACTATACATTATATCACATGCTCTAGAATCCTTTGGATTAGAAATAGAAGCCAAATAGCTATGCCACATAGGATTGAGGTTATTTTTAATTCTTACAAACTTAAGGTTACAACTTTTTAAATGATTCTCAAATAATATATAGGGGATTACTCAAAGAAGTGGTATAGGTATAAATTATCTATTAATCTATAATGTTTTAATTAGACAAAGAAAGGGTATAAGGATAAATCATCCAAATCTATTTTTGTAACTTTTGACCGTGTATGAGACAAAAACTTAGATTTGGGTGCTCGAAAGGGCCTGAAATTAAACACTCAGCCCTATTAGATATTATTTCTTTTTAGGATGTAGGAAGTATTAATGTATCAATACGGAAGTCAATGAAGGCCATTGGGTAGCGAAGCCATTGTGAGAGTCACACACACAGAGATAAGTTCAAAGGTGTATTTCTACGTAGGATTGCGATGGAACAACGTTGACCATTCCCGCGTTCAACCTTAAAATTGTAGATTAGTCTGCAATCCATCTCTTACTTTTTCCATGGCATCTTCTTTATCTCGATCCGTGTGGAAGTACGATGCCTTCTTGAGTTTCAGAGGGACAGATGTTCGCAGAAACTTCATCAGCCATCTCACAGACGAAGGAATCATAACCTTCCATGACGACACAGACCTTGAGAGAGGCAGTTCGATCTTGAAAGGACTCGAGGAAGCCATGAATCAGTCGAGATTCGCAGTCGTCGTGATTTCAGAGGACTACGCTACATCTCAATGGTGCTTGAAAGAGCTTTCGTTTATGGTCGACTTAACTGAAAAGAAACGCTTCGACCTGATCCCTATATTCTATGAAATCCCTATATCCCTATGTTCAAGAGCCGAAGCGGTTGTTTTAGCAAAGCTTTTGAGGATCATGAGAAGAGATTTGATGCTAAGACCGTGAGTGAGTGGAGAAGCGCTTTGGCTATAGTTGGGAACATACAGTATCTGGTTGGGATTCCAATACCAGGTTCCTTTCAAGTCCCTATTTTCCTCATTATTCATGGACCAGTTTCAAATAAATATTAACTTTGTATTTAACAATATAAAATAAGATCATTTTTAAAAATTTATATATAGCTCTATATTTATATATTGACGTCTTTTTAAAAATTATTATCTTTAAGCATTTCAAGTTTTAGACCATAATTTATATCTATATCTATACTATTATTTGCGAAGTGATTTTTCGCAACGGAGCTCTCACGTTAAAAGTTAGAGTGGTTAATATCGTTTATACCCTTAATGAAAAGATATAAATTATACACAAATAAAAAACGAATTTTAATTCTATTAATTAGATAAGTGATTAAAATTAGTAATGATAACAAGCATTATCCAAAAAAATATATTTTTAAAAATAAAAAGATAATTCATCTATATATTGTGTTGTTATCTTAAACTATCTTCTAATATAAAAATTAAAAATACAAAAGAATTAAAAATTATTTGATTAGATGAGTTATTAAAATTATTAATAATAAAAATAATCCAGTATATAGAAAATATTTTAAATAAAAAAGATAATTACTATATACATTGTGTTGTTATCTAAATAATATCTTTTAAATTAAGTTTAAATAATAAAATATAAACACATAAAAATTAATAATCAAGTAAAATTCTTAATTTTATATAATTATAGTTTTAAAAATAATGAGTGATTTCTAAGATTTATTTATTTATTAATAACAAATATAATGTACCAAACAAAATTTCAAAATATTTATAATACGTAATAATTACAAAACAAAAACATAAACAATAAGTTATGAGTATAGTTTTTAATTAATAATATATGTATTAATCAAATAGTTATAAAATATTTACGCCCGCATGAGCGGGCAAAACACCTAGTTTTATTTTAAAAAGTATTCTTAATTTTGTTTTTTTTTTTAATTATATAGTGGCCTTGTTCAACCAATTGCTCATGCTAATACATATAATTATATGAATGGGTCTTTGACGCAGGAGCGATGATTCAAAGCTTACACAAGAAGTTGTTAGAGATCTTTGTGATAGGTTATACTTAGAGTCTGAGCCATCAGACGAAACAAGTGAATTTGTAGGGATGAGTCTCCATAAGAAACGCATGGAATCTCTTTTAACAATGGACAGCTCTGACTCTGATGATGATGTCAAAATGGTAGGAGTGTGGGGTATGGGGGGCAGAGGCAAAACAACCATCGCTAAATGTGTCTACGAATCCCTCTCGACTCACTTTCCTAGTCGTTGCTATCTTACGAACGTTAAAGATGATTTCCAAAAACATGGTGAATCATCATCATCATCATCATCATCATCATATCTGCGGAAGCAAATCATGTCTGAAATTTTCCCCAAAAGCCCCCTTAACGCACGGTGCGTCAGCCCTGAGGCAATGAGGCGGAGGCTACGTGGAAAGAAGGTTCTTCTCATCCTCGATGATGTTGATGACGTTAAGCAACTCCAAGAATTGGCTGGAGACTGCAAGTGGTTTGGACCAGGAAGCTGAGTCATTATCACGACACGAGACAAGCGTGTGTTAGATGAGCACTGTGTAAAACACATTTATGAAGTGAAGCCTCTTAGGACCACACAAGCGCTTCAGCTTTTCAGCAAGCATGCCTTCAAAATGAATCGTCCACAAGCAGAATTCAGACAACTCTGTTTAGATATTGTGGAGCAGCTTTGTGGTCTTCCTTTAGCGCTTCGGGTCATTGGTGCGTCTCTGTATGGTCGGGAAATACCATCTTGGGAAGACAAGCTGTGTATACTGAAAAACAGTCTTGACAAATCTATATCAGTGGCGTTAAAAAGTAAGTTATGATGCACTGGATGAGCCTGAAAAGATTGTGTTTCTTTATGTTGCTGGTTGTTTCAACGGAGAATATATGGATCGTGCGAGTATGGTACTTGATCCCTTTGTGATCAAATCTAAACCAAGGTTGGTAACTCTGACGGAGAAGTCTCTGATTAGTATGTCCAACAATACGAGGCTATGGGTTCATGATTCACTGAAAATGTGGTAAGATAAGCTTACATTTATTCTCTCTGTGCCTGTCTTCTACAGTTTCTTATTTAATTTTGTTTCGACAGGGAAATAAAGAGATTGAGGTGGAGAGTATATTGCTCAACATGGGTGAAGAAACAAGGCTTTACGTTAACCCCGAAACGTTTAAGAGGATGCGCAAACTCAAATTTCTTAAAATCCATAGTAATTCAACTGCTGCAGGGGGGAGCAAAGTGTGTATCGTCGACGATTTTGACTACCTCCCACCACTAAGATATCTTCACTGGGAGGCTTACACTTTAAAGTCATTGCCAACAAAGTTTGAGACCAACGTTTTAGTTGAGCTCAACCTTCCTGATAGCTCAGTCGAAACACTATGGAACGGAAGTCAGTTAATCTTTTTCTAAAGCAAAAAAAAAACACGAAGTGATTTCGGGACACGATTAAAATGTTTTTTGTGGACTGTGTGTTTATGTTATTCAGGAAAAATAATATATGTCTGTCTGTGTATGTCCCATTTTTGTAACCTTTCCATATATGTCTGCTGGTAACAAATGTCGTGGTTCTAATCTATGACAGGACCTTGGGAGTCTAAGATACATGAACCTTAACAGATGCAAGAATCTGACTGAAATTCCAGACCTTTCAAAGGCACAGAGCCTCGAGTATTTATGCCTTTGCGATTGCGAAAGCTTGGTAGAGCTTCCTTCTTCTCTTGGTCATCTTGATAAGTTAGTTAAGCTTTCCATGCTAAATTGCAAGAAACTCAAGAGTCTCCCGCGTAACATCAAACTGAAGTCTCTCAAAACTCTTTCTCTAGACGGATGCACATTGATACAAGAATTTCCATTTGTTTCCGACCATATTGAAGAGTTGGGATTGCGCTGCACATCAATTGAACTAGTGCCGGATTCTATCGGCTGTCTCTCGAAGCTCATAGAACTTCGGTTATCACATTGCAAGAGACTGAAGAATCTCCCTGACACCTTGGGGAATTTGACTTCACTCAAACATCTCACCATGTCTTGCTGTCCCAACATCACAGTCTTTCCAGTGCTTGGCAATGGAGTAGAAACTGTGTCCTTGAACGCAACACGGATCGAGGAAGTTCCCTCGTGGATAGGGGACAAGGTGAATCTATCGTGCCTTGACATGTCAGAGTGCAAGAAGCTCCATAATCTGCCTCACTCGCTGAGGAACCTGAAAAACCTGAAGCTGCTTTATCTCCGTGGGTGCATTAATATCACTGAGATCCCACAGGTTGCAGGGGAAATGAGAAGATTGGATTTATATGGGACGTCAATAGAGAAATATGGAATTCTCTCTGAAGAGGAAGCACTTGAGTTGCACAATCGTGATATGGACTTCTTGAAAGGATTTCTCACTCGCTATGTCCGGAAATACAAGATAAAACGCAACTCTTTATAAGTTGATGACTTCTCCTAATGGACTCGGATTTGCAGTCTTAAGAGGTGTTCAACAAGACTTGACTTGACAAGTTCCACCGCCTAAAGAAGAGAGACGGTTAAACTTGAGATATCCGTTTGATCTTTGATGCGAGCCAAATGGTTTAATCAAGAAAACCGAATCCCAAATACAATTGTTAGACCAATAAGTTGGTCAAGAGGAAAGGAGAATCACGATTTCCCAAGTTGTAGGACATAGATTCCCATTTCTCCAATGTTTCATAGTTTGTATGATTGGCAAAGAAACCCTTTATTTCCTTTTGTATTTTAAAGATCTTAATTGCAAGACAATAGGCAGAATGGATACTTGTAAGTTGTGTTCTTGTTCTGTTTTTGTTTCTAATCGAGTTAAAAACTTGGTGTTCTTAGTTTTGTTGTTAAACTTGATCGTGTTCAACTTTGCTACCTCTGCCAGATCAACTTGAGAAGCTTAACAACTACTGAGTAACCGAAACATTTTGGTAATCTTTTCACTGAGAGCTTCTATCAAAACCCACGTGTTATACTTTTCAAAGTATGTTTAATGCTAAAGCATAAGAGTTAGATCTCAGAGTATGCCATTCTTCATGGAGTGTATTTTTGCTCTTATTGGCTAAAATGTAAGAGTTAGATCTCAGAACATTAGTAAAAATCTTTTTNACTGAGTAACCGAAACATTTTGGTAATCTTTTCACTGAGAGCTTCTATCAAAACCCACGTGTTATACTTTTCAAAGTATGTTTAATGCTAAAGCATAAGAGTTAGATCTCAGAGTATGCCATTCTTCATGGAGTGTATTTTTGCTCTTATTGGCTAAAATGTAAGAGTTAGATCTCAGAACATTAGTAAAAATCTTTTTCTTTCTTTTGTAGGAAAGTTTTAAAAAAACTGTAACATCAGAAAGACGGTAACACGGATGCATTAAGAAGAATCAAGCCACTCTTGTAATCGGTTTATGAAAAAAGTAACATTCTTCCAAAAGTAAGAAAGAAGCCTAACATAAACTGTGACATGTTACAGTCTTATCTTTTTGTGCTCTGGGAATGAAGCAAAGCCTTAAACATGGATTTATTAACGTAACCCAATGAAGGGACAAAAGGCAACAATAACCGGAAAATTGGAGAAATAACCGAGTCCAATCGGTTTCATTATTGGTTGGCAAACTTAACTCCCTTCTCGATGGAAGACTTGAGTTCTGGCTTCAGTGCTTCCAAGCCTTCCTTCTCAAAGTCTGAGAGTGGCCCCAAATCAAGAACCTCCTCCACACCGTTCTTCCCCAACCTCACCTGAATCACATAACCAAGCCATCATATTCATAGTAGGATGCAACATTGTGTGTTTGATTGATGCTCTAAGTTTAGAGGATTACCTTTGAGGCAAAGAAAGGAAGCTCTGTGATTGTTGATTGCACGTACGAGCATTCAACAACGTCCGGAACTCCGTTGAGTCCCTTCAAGCATGCATCAGCAAACAATGCTCCAGCATAGCTGTGACAACGATCAGATTACTTAATAACCAATAGTATATATACAAGAAAAGAGAGAATAATTTCAAAAAAAAAGAAAAAGAAAAGGTAGGACAAGAGGATACTTACGCCATTGACAATGTAGCTGAACCTTTTCCTGCTTTAGCCTCCACAACTTCTGTACCTCCATCTTGAGTTCGCTTGGTGAGGGCGGTAAGTACGTCACCTGACAAGTTAGCTTGAGGAGTGGCCTACAATGTTGGCAAACAGAGTGAACTTAGTCGAGGAAAAGAACCACAGCATTCAACTACATTGAGAGGTAACCAACCTGAGAGAAGAGTGGGAGAATAGTAACCCCAGCGTGACCACCAATCACAGGAACGTTAACTTCTGCAGAGACAACAACAAGCATTTAAAGACTCAGGATAGTCAACACAACATCCTTCAACACAGCTAAGGAAAAGGACAAACCTGCAACAGGGACATTAGCCTTTCCAGCATAGAAAGTCTTGGCCCTAACAACATCAAGAGTGGTAACACCAAACAACTTCTTTTCATCGTACATGCCAGCCTTCTTGAATATCTCAGCTGCAATTGGAACAGTAGAGTTCACAGGGTTGCTGATCATATTAACAAGTGCCTGATTCAACACAAGAGCGTAACTCCAAAGGTCAGTCATTTGACAGAGTATTAACCACAAAAAGGAGACATTTTGAGCCCTAAAAATCAAGCTGTTGGCTTACATGAGGGCAGTACTTGGCGATGGCAGAGCAAAGGTTCTTGACAATGCCAGCATTGATGTTGAACAGATCATCACGGGTCATACCAGGCTTCCTTGGGACACCAGCAGGAATGATAACAAGGTCAGCTCCTTCAAGAGCTTTCGCCAAGTTATCATCTCCCATGTATCCAACAACCTATTACAAGAACGCATTTTGAAACCATTCAAGCCCTTAAATTAAACGACTTTACTGAAATCTAATAAACATCAGAGACTCCAAATCTAGTAGTTGAGATGGTTGTGTACGTACCTCAGATCTGGTGTTGATGTGACCGACATCAGCGGCAACTCCAGGTGTGTTGGCGATATCGTAGAGGGAGAGACTTGAGACGAGAGGGTTGAGTTTCATGAGGAGAGCCAGAGGCTGACCGATTCCACCGGCGGCGCCGAGGATGGCGACTTTACGCTCAGGAACGGACCCGGAGGAGAAGCCGCGGCGGAGAAGCGACTGCTTCGCCGAGGAAGAGGATCGGACAAGCATAGATCTGAACATTTTGGGAGGAGATCTAAAGAAGATGTCTTTTGTTTTTTTGTCTTTTAGTTTATGTGGTGAAGCTCTGGCGAGACACTCGATGATGATGATCAGATATGTAATGACTCTCTGCTTTTAATGCTTCCAGGTCTTTTTTGTGACTTTGGATAACTTTGGACTAATTTTGCGTAAAAATAAAAAATTCTGCTACTTGTTTGTATTATTAAAGAAAAAACATCATGATTTTCTATTAAAAAAATAAACCAATCAAAACATGATTTTTATCAGATCAATCAGAAGTAAGCATAATATAAATTGTAGTCTTTGTAGCTATTCAGAAGACTAATCCCTTTTCAGTGTACAATCTGTTTTGCTTCTTTTTTATAAAGCACATGTTGGAGAGTTTTGCAAAATCCCTTTAGTAGAAGGATTGATGGCAATTTTTTGATTAAAAGATAGGGAAGTTTTTAGCAAAAAAAATTCCTATATTCATAAGAACAAATATTTTTTAATTCATAAAAGGCAATTAAGCATAATAAAACAATTAAATCAACCCCAAAATGTCTGATTAAACACTAGCAAAGTACGTGCAGAGTGTAACGACAGATTCAGTTCAATTACATGTTACAAAGTGTACTTCTTTGCCACACCTCGGTCGCACCGGAAAAACGCCAAAATAGGAAGGAAAAGGAAAAAAAGAGTAAAACAAGAAGACGACGACGTGTCACAAGTTAGTGTGAGCATATGATTCCTAAAAGTGACACAAAGACTAGTCTGTTCATGGACAAGATCAGATAAAAGTCTCTTCAGAGAATATCTTACCCAAACAAAAATGACAAAATTTTCTGACGTAAAAAACCTCAAACTACTATTGAAAGTAATCTCTTCATTTGGTATACATATTACACAGAATCAAATTAGATTTGTTATCATCTGACGCAGAGTTAACGTCACACAATGACAACATATAACACCAAAAATAATTTTTCAAGAAGCTTCTATCATGTCTGGTTTCGACATCAGTTGATAAACGGGCTTCAAAAGTCTACTTGGGAACGAGGAAAGGCAGAAATACAAATATAGATCAAGCTGCTAAAGCAAGACATGTTCAGCACTTTTATCTATGAATCAACCAGTGAGAAATGATTCACAAAGAAAACCAATCTAGTGCCACTTTATTTATGTCAAGTAAAGGATTCCGTAGGCATGTGAACCACCAAACAGATGTCCTCAAAGATCACAGACAAGTAGAGCGGTGTGTCTACGTTTCATAAGATTGAAAAAAAAAACAACAACAAGGAAACAGAGTAGAGAAGAATACAGCAAAATACTAATGAAAACTACTAATCTGACAAACAAAATAAATCATCTGTCATGTCTATGAAAAGAGAGAAAATACAGACTAGTCTAATCAGTTATAGAGTAACTAGGCATTCAGAGGCCAAGGGCACATTCAGTTCAAGTGCATAGAGACATGTCAAAGCAGTAATACATTCATCAAATCCAGAGATTTTTAAAGAGGCTGCAATCACGTAATCACCACTAAGCACAAAAAGCATCTTCTCCCTGTCACAAACCTGAATCATACATTCACAACTCAATTTGGTCATTAGCATTAACAAACAAGTCACTTGAAAAGAAAGATTAATACTTCAAGCAGAAACCAACAACTCCAACAAGTAATGTACCAACCAAGTGGCACTAAGTTGCAAGTGATGATGGCTGCAAAAAGACTAAACAGATTTCGATATTTGTAAATGAACAGAATACTAAAACCTCAAACTTATAGTTGTAAGTTCACCCCAAACTATAAAACAAAAAGGTAATACATGAATCTATGCTAACAACATACAGATACTCAAATACACTCAGGCACTGAATCAAGTAGCAAAAATCACTGAACGAAAGCAAATAGCCCCAAATGGACACAGGAAAAGCAGAGAATTTCTAGCTAGCAAACAAAACTAAGCGCAGCAACAGGCAAAACAATACGAACAGCAGCGAAGAAAACGTCAAATGCAAGGACCATGCAAAAAAAAGCTCTACAACTAGCAAAAAGAAAAATCAAGTTTTAAAAAAATCTCACCATTCAGTAATTTGGTGGACCGTTGGGGTACATTCCTCCAAGAGGAACTCTTGGCACTGGGGAGGAACCAACAGGCGGATGCTGGCCAGGATATGCAGAAGCTGACGAATGCCCATAATGGCCACTCTCTGGATAACCACCACCAGACATGGAACTTGGCGGCATTCTATACGGTCCACTTCCAGCAACAGGCCCACCATAACCACCACCGTGACCACCCATTGATCCATAACCGCCAGATCCTGCACCACCATATCCACTGTAATGACCAGCATATGGACCTCCATAACCACCTCCTCCTCCAGTACCCCCACCACCCATAGAAGACGGAGTAGAATTCATATGATGTGGCGGTGGTGGTCCTCCAGAGTATCCACCGTAAGGACCCATCCCACCAGGTCCACCGTGACCAGCAGAATAAGGTCCAGGAGGAGGCACCATACCCATTCCATCACCATGACCATGTCCTCCAGCCCCAGCACCACCACCATCTGGCTTACCTTTCTTACCATCTATAGCCAACTTACACTGCAGATGCTTCCCATCAACAACCTTTGTAGGATCAGCAAGCGCCGCCTGAGCACCTTCAGAAGTCTTATACACAAACAAAGCGAACCCCCTCGACTTCCCAGTAACTTTATCAAAACCCAAAGGACCTTCCTCAATATCTCCATAAGCAAGAAACTGATTCAGCAACCTATCCGCAGGCATATCAAACGGCACATTCGCCACATAAATCTTCCTCATGGATATATCCGAAACATGAGCAGCCGCCGTACCCTGATTCCCCGCCGCCGCGAGCTGCGTGACCGTCACGCGCCCGTCTATCTTCTTAGACGGATCCTTGAGAGCCAGAAGCGCTCCGTCCACGTGCTTGAAAGTCACGAACCCATACCCTTTCGATTTCGCCGTGACCTTATCGAGAATCACGATAGCTTCCTCGAGATCTCCGTAAGTGGAGAAGAGAGATCGGAGACCCTCCGTGGTCGTCTCAGCCGCGAGGCCGCGGATGAATAGCTTCCTCTGGGAGATGTCTGAGTCGGCGGATGATCTGACGAGGTCGAGAACGTCGGGGTGACGAGCGACGGCCTCTTGTAAGATATCGAGAAGCTGGTCGCTGGAGAAGCGTTCGATGATCTTCCGAGCGTCGTGTGGGGTTAATCGAGTAGAGATTGCGGTCATGTGGTTTTCGTTGAGGAGTCCGATGCCGTTCTCGTCGAGCCGTCGCTTCTTCAACATATCCATCATCTGATGTGTGAGGAGGTTTAGATAGATAGAGATATCTTTCGACTCGCCTAAGATCCTTTAACCCTAGTCGACACAAAAGAGTTGCGATATGAGGGAAGGTATGTTGTTTTTTTTTTTTTTTTAACGCCAAAGATTGAGCTTTTCAAGCGACTTTTTAAGGCCCAGCCCAATTAAATTACCATTTTAAGGTATAAGATACTAGCTACAGCCCGATGGTGTTTACCTTTGTGCACAGTATCAATACCAATAAAACACAGAATGTTTCTGTTTAATAATTTTTTTATGTTTTTCAATTAAACATTTATTCTTATATACAAATTTAATTTATAATGAATGCAAATTTTGTCAATTTTATTTAGACGTAAAAATATAAAATAGTGGATTTCATTAATGGGCTGATTCTCTTTCAAATTTTATAAAAATATTTTGCAAAAATATATTTTCTTTGCAGGTTAGGTGGGACAAATGTTTGAGTCATAAAAATGACTCAACCCGCTACAAAGCGGGTCGGACGAAGCGAGTTTGACTCACTTCCCAACATTAGGCGTAGTTAATTGATATTAATTTTTTCCAAATAAAACTACACAATTATATACAATATATTTACATAGATATAGATGATTATAATAAATTAAAATCTGCATTAATTTTAAAAAGTTATATTAGATAATGAAATTTTGAAACTATATTATTTTATGAATTAATAACAAAACTAAAAAAAATGGGTCATTTAATTCTTAAATATACAATCTTTCTCAAATACAAATTTGAGGTACAACCATCCCCTAGACTATATTTGCGAAGTGATTTTGAAGAAAAATATGACATGGCACATTCAAAAATATGAGATGACATATTTGAAACCCTAATATGATATGCATCGATTTATGATCAATCATTGTCGGCTCCATATAAAAGTGATTTCGTTAATATATTTATGAAGATTTATGTCCTTATTTAATTTATATATGACATAAAAAAGATAATTTTCTTAAATAAGAACCAATTCCTTTGCTAAAAAAAGGAAATTACATTATTTTTGGTATATTTCACAAGTTATCAAACCAATAAAATAGAAATGTTTGGGTATATTTTTAAAAGGAACACAAACCTTGACCTATAAAAACGTCCTATAACAAAGAACTCAACATACAAACCAAATCAATACAATGAAGCGTTCAACCACAAAACCAAACGACCAAAACACAATACATGGACATCGATATCAAAAGCGTAAGTGAAATATTAAATAAGCACAAACTTATATTACAAATTAAGTATGACAAAATTAATCATAGGTGGAAGACCAAGAAAACATCAACATCCTCCAAACGAAGCATATGATGTGAATATGGATGAACAACATGAACAAATAACTGATAACGCAAAAGCACCACCACCTCTACAAAAGCGTAAGTCTATTTCTGTTTATACCCAAAATATTCTCTATATATTCTCTTCATTAATGTTTATCAATTAAATATTAATCATAGGGGGAAAACAAAGAAAACATCAACCTCTTCCAAACAAAGCAGATGATGTGAATATGGATGAACAACATGAACAATTAACTGATAACGCCAAAGCACCACCACCTCTCAAAAGCGTAAGTCTATTTCCATTTATACCCAAGATATTCTCTACTTATTATCTTCATTTATGTTTAGAAATTTTGTTTATTCATAACTTCAGGTGGCAGACCAAGAAAGGATAAATCATCTAAAACCCCTAGAACATCATCTACGATCGACCTTACTAAACAAACCTCAAGCAATATCGCAAGCGATGAAAGAATGCAAATTCTTGAAATAAAAAGAAAAGTTTTTAAGAGCAGTACACCTTTAGGTTAATAAAATTACAAGTACAAACTTATATTCAATATAGAGCATGACCGATTGTTATCATAGGTGGAAGAGAAACAAAACAACAACCTTCTTCAAACGAAGCAGATGATGTGAATATGGATGAACAAGATGAACAAATAACTGATAAAGTCAAAGCACCACCATCTCTACAAAAGCATAAGTGTATTTCTGTTTATACCCAAGATATTCTCTACATATTCTCTCCATTTATGTTTAACAATTTTGCTTTTTCATAAATTCAGGTGACAGACCAAGAAAGAATAAATCATCTAAAACCCCTGGAACATCATCTACGATCGACCTTACTAATCAAACCTCAAGGAGTACAAGCGATGAAGAAGAAGGTAACAACATATATTTAAAAACAATGCAATGTTCAAATCATACCCTCAAATACATATATGTTTAACCTCAACTTCATGAAACATATTTTTTCTTAACCTTTACCAACTGAGAAAATTTCATGTCGTTCATAGCCACTGATTCTGAGTATGAATCTGATTCAGAAGGTAATTAAATTTAATACCGATTTGGTACTCTTAACAACTCTACCAATATTTCAATACTTATTTTTAAAAAAATTGCAGATTTCAATCACTCTGATGATGATATCGGCATTAATCATGATAATCAGAGCAAAGTACATCAAAATAAAAATTCCTAACAAAACTAGATTGTTTCGAAAGGTTTTATCACAAACATGGATGCAGCTAGAACTATCAAACCAGGAGAATCAGAGAATGGTAATTATTTTACATTATTCTTCTATGTAATCGTTTTTAAAGACTGTCCTTCAAAATTTATAATCTATAACTTATTATTCTTAAAGCTAAAATTTTTTTCGTGTTTTCTTAATAACAGGTTACTATGATGATGGTGATCCTTTATATATATATGTCAATATTGTAAAGCATACATGTGGTTGGGTGAACAGATTAACAAACGAGTGAAAAATAAATAACATGTCTTTGTTATGTGCTGTAAATAAGGAAAAGTCAAGCTTCCACTACTTAAGACTTCCCCAGCTACATTGCTAACATTATTTTACAATGGAGATGAAAAAACAAACACTTTTGTGAATTCATAAGAGCATACAATTTGATGTTTTCATTCACATCGCTTGGTGGAAAGGTTAACCATTCTCTGAACAATGAAAAATAACCTTATGTAGTTCAGATATGCGGTGATAATTATCACAGAATAGGTGATTTTTTGCCTGGTCCCAACAAAGATCTAGCATTTTTGCAACTCTATATACACGACACCGTGAATGAGATACAAAATAGAATAAAAGCTTACAGGTAATATATGAATTTATATATATATATATATATAATATAATAAATTCATTTATGTTTTAATTATTATATTGGAACATATTTATTTATAACTTTCTGAAACGATTTATGTAGTAAAACGGGATCTGCTGCAAGTTTTGATGAATCGGTAGTTGGACTTCTTAAAAAGATGTTAGATGCTCACAATCCTCATGTCAAAGCCTTAAGATCAGCAATAGAGAAGTTTGATGTCACCAAACAAACCGAAGGCTTGAGATTAAGGCTGCCAAGTGAAAGATATGTTGATGGAAGAACGCATAACCTCGCCACTGGAAATGAAGTTGCAGGTTTAATTGCAGGTGACTTCAACATTGGTTTGAACACCTGTGAAATTATTATTGAGAGTAGATCTGAGAAATTACAACGGATTAGTGATATTTGCCACTCCAATATCCACTACAATTTCCTGATGGTGAAGATGGTTTCAGATTGGGAATCAACATTGGTTTTCTTGATACAGCTGGCAAAAAGAAAAAAACTGTGACAATGTGAGAATATTTTGTTTTTCGTATACAAGAACGGGAAGGAGAATTTCCTACTATAACGATGGCAGGCCGAGTGTTTCAACAATTCTTAGTAGATGTCTACACCAAGATTGAGACAAATAAACTGCGATATCTTTTCTTTAATTAGAAAAATCTCAGATACGAAAACTTCGACAATATTCAAAAATCAGCTGACCAAGGGGATTATAATTTAGCAGACCAAGGGAAACAAATCTTTACACCTTACTCTTTCACAGGAGATAAAAGGTATATGATGCAACACTATCTTGATGCCATGGCAACGTGCAAATATTATGGCTATCCAGATGTTTTCATTACAAATGCTTGTAATCCTAAGTGGCCAGAAGTTACAAGGTATCTTTAGAAACACAACTTAAAATCAGAAGGTAGGGTAGCCATATGTTGCAGGGTTTTCAAAATGAAACTTGATAGTATAATACAACATCTAACTAAAAATGAGAGAAATGAACTTTTGGTAAAGTTAATGCTGGTAAAATCTTATTTAATTTGTTCTATTTCTAAGAATTATTAATATTTCTATATTTTACAAATCAAAACTAACTAATTTATTATTACTTTGTTTCAGCTTTGTACACAATTGAATTTCAGAAAAGATGTCTTCCACATGCACATATGGTGATGTTTTTGCATTTAGATTCAAAAATGCCAACCGGTGAAGATTTTGATAAGTTTATTAGCGCAGGATATCCTGATAAAGATCTAGAACCGTACTTGTACGAAGTTGTCGGAGATAATTTGATACATGGACCATGCGGAGCTGTTAATAAAGCCAATGTTTGTGTGATTGATGGCAAGTGTTCAAAATTCTTTCCCAAGTCTTTTAGTGCAGTCACTAAAGTTGATGATGCTGGATTTCCTATTTATAAACAGAGGGAAGATGGAAGAAAAACTCACAAGAGAGGTTTTGACTGTGATAATAGATATGTCGTTCCATACAATAAGGATCTATCGCTTCGTTACCGTGCTCATACTAACGTTGAATGGTGCAACCAAACATGCTCTATTAAGTACTTTTTTAAGTACTAAAGGACCAGACTATGTCAACACATCCGTAGGAAGAGACGACCAGAATGATGATACCGTTGATGAAATTAAAAAATACTATAGCTGCAGGTAACATTTGAAAATAAAATATTATTCGTAATGTTCATTAGCTACAATTTAATTATACTGTACTTTTTAGATACATATCCGCATGTGAATCTACTTGGAGAACTCTTGCTTTTCCTACTCACTATAGAACAACATCAGTAGAAAAACTATCATTTCAT